AAAAAAAAAAAAAAAAAAAAAAAAAATCAGCAGAACAGCTGCTCCTTATTTGACAGACGAGACGCATGGGGATAAGCTGCAATAAAGATAAACTTTTGCTGCTCATGCTCTGATAAAAGCCAGCAGAGCCTTAACGAGTAAAACTGGTGCTTCATTGCATATAATTGAATTCATGTTTCATGCTCTCTCCCTAAACACCCACCTCCCACAGACAGAATTAATGTGTGCTCCACTTCGTGCATTTTAGATGTAGGAACAGCTTTCCAATCATTACAGAAATAATGTTACTCTAGGAAACCATGATTATTTGATGCACAAAGAAGTTCAGTATAGATGACCATTCCAAACAGACTAGGAAGAAAAAAAATCAGAAGAATCAAAACCCCCTAAACGACTTGAGTCATGCTTTGCTTCTTTTCTCTTTTTGGCAAAGAAAAAAATGTGATAATTAGGATATTTAAGCAGGGATGATGGTAGCCATAACAACCCTTTATATAATTTAATACATTTAGGTTCTGATAGGCAGCAGGTCTTTCAGGAGCTGAAGCTGTGAATGCACAAACTTAACACAAAAGTTTGCTTACAAAGCAGAGACTTAAAAAAAGTCTAAAGAAAAAAGGTAAATGGCCCAGGTTCTCTGTGACAGCACTCCATTTTAGCTCAGGTCTTGCAATTAGGTGTTCCAGCATATTGTACAGCCCCATTCTAATGGGAACTGACTGTTTGGAATTAAAAATGTACTTGCTTGTTGTATTTTGCAATATAATTCAGTACTCATAAAATCTCAGGCTTAGTACCTGAAATCCTCCCAAAACAGGTTTGACACTTGTGACAGAAACTTCCCACATGAACCTATCTGTATGCTCCATACACTGACTGAAAAGGGACCACCTAGAAGAGACAAATACAGATTCCATATTCCTGCAGTCCTTGAAACTTTGGCTTTTCTGTTAGGTGTACTCATCTTATTAGCATCAATCCCTGTAAAGTCAATTCCTTTTATACAATATATTAACAGAGACAGAATATTAATTATAGTACATATAATTACTGCTCCATAACTATGCCATTCTGGCAAAGAAATCAGGGCTCAGTAACAGACTTCAAAGAATTCTAAATTCTTCCTTCTTTAAACCAAGCAATTCTTCACATGAAAAACAGTAACTTGGAAAGATTGCCACACAATGAAAAAAAATCTCAAAATTAAAGGTTGAAAATGTATTATCCATTAAGTAGCACTGACAGACTGCTATATTTTTAAACCCTAAATCTCAGGAATTGAGGACAGGACGTTATCAACTAAGGTTCCATCATCAAATAAAAAACACCTTCTTTTAGAGATCCTTAGCCATTTCCACCTGATACTTAAACTCTGTCCTCTTGATGCAATCAATTCTAACATATAATTTTCAGTTTCAATACAACTCTCTATCAATCTTTTCAATGTGTACCAGTTGCAAAAGGGCTTCATTCTCCTGCTGATTGCAAAGGTATCAGAAAAACTCAACAGTTTAGTAGATGAACAAAAAAAGAGAAAAGATTAACATTTTTTCTAGGTTACTATATATATATATATATATATATATATATATATATATATATAGTATTGAAACAATATGTTTGAAGTGGAATGAAACATCTTGTTCAACTCAAATTAAACAGTTCCATACCATTTTTGTGCTTCTTTATTAAAGGCAAAAAGCTAAATTGACAGGAAAAGGCGGAGTACGCAGTGGTTATACTTGCCGTATATAGCAGTGCTTAAGGCCCCCATATGGCACAGAGAAAGAAAAGAGAAGCTCAATCTCTTCTCCTGATTCAGAGCAGTGATTTAAACCTCAGTCTTTCACCTCTCCAGAATTCACTAGCCATGAGATGATAGGGGATTCAGACTGGCTTCTGTTTCTGCTATTCACTTCATATCAAAGTGAAGTTATTAAGAGCAGGTTAAACAAACACTTGACTAGAATGGTTTAAAGAGGGAAGGATCCTACTACCTTAAGCAAGGGTTGGGCTAGATGACCTTGTGAGGTCCCTTCCAGCTTTATTACTCTATGACTCTAAATAATCATCACAACAGAGATAGAAAGAAACATACTAGAGCCCAGTAGCTCACACATTTGAAACACCTGAGTTTCAGATCCAACAATCTTTAACTATTATGCAAAATACAAAAGAAAGAGAGATACTTCTCTTATTCACCAAGACTAAGGGTGTTTGGCAAGGCCAGCCTCCCCTCTACCCCTGCCTGACACCTAGGCAAGCCTGCCCCTTCCCAAGCAGCACCAGGTATCTTGCCAGTTGCAGGAGCCTGCTGAAGACACAAGTGTGTGTGTGTGTTGGGGGGGGGGGGGGGGGGGGGG